TAAACATTAACAGCAAAATAAACATCCAGAGATTTTAAGCAACAGGAAGTTGATAAAGGGGAAATAGATGAAGGGAGACTGGTCTCACTGGACCTGGTTCTATACCATCAAGTTGTCTTGAAAAGCTTCCTTTAGCAAAGGGCTCTTTGGAACCTGTTTTAAATTTTGTCCAAGGCAAAACACTCTTACTGATTTTATTATCTTTGCCATGAAGATAATTTGTGTATAGTGTGACTATGCAGCAAGAGAGAGACCTGCAGAGGAAAAGCCTGAGGCCAGCATGCAATTCAGACAACATAGTTTAGAACACCAGTACTTTGACAACAGTTAACAAATTTGTTCTGAAGAAAGTATGGTAATTAAATACACCATTTTGAGCATTTACTGTGACAGAACCCCCTGCTGAAGCCTGATTTAGAGCTTCACTAGACTTGCAGGGCAGAGGAGGACAAATTCTCAACCATATCCCCTTTTTGCAGAGAAATGCCACAATACTGCACAGAACAAGATCTCCACCACTGTTTATTCCAGTACATAACCAAAAGAAACTTTTTCCACTGGAGATTATATCTGATCTTGGAATGGACACTAGCTTTCAGGCTTAACTCATACAAAAGGCTTCACTGAAGGCTTCCCTGTTGCATCTCTTGTACTTCGACCCTTTCAAAAGATTTTGAATCTGTATCTGTATCACACACATGCATGTTGTGAAGGCTGACAGCCAAACCATCTGCACACCAAGCAAGATGTGAAAGGGCTTCCTCATGCAGTCTCGTAGCACAAGGTCTCACAAATGTGTAGCGCCAAGAGCTCGCGGCGGAGGTTGCTGGTTATTTACCCTTAAAGCTGTAATAAGAGTTGTAAATACCATCTGCTCAACAATATACAAATCTTTTCATCTGTTTCATCAAAGACTGCAGTTATACAGTTATAGTTGTCCAAACATCACCCCCTTTCCACATGTTCAACAGTACATTCTACAGACCAACATCAATAAGGCATACACTACATATACCAATTGTGGCATAAGAAGGAAAAATGCTCACAAGTATACCATCAGTTGTTTCTATCTTCAGATAGTATTTTTACATACTTTTAGATTGTGACTAAAGGATTCCTGAAAGGCTTTTATCTGTCGACTGCATACAGGGAATAGAAGTATTTTGTACTGCATCATTAGGAGTGATCAAAATGAATTCCCTGTCTTCCAGGAGATTCTAAACTACCCAGTTATGTGCTGGTTACAGAAAATTCATGAATTAGGAGAAGCCCTGAAATTAAAGTCATAGATGGAAATGAAGACTCAAACCAACCTTAACCTTGCCTATTCCATGGACCAAGATATCAACAGTAAAGTTCCGGACCCAACAAAGATAATTAATTGTAGATACTTTAATTATGAGTGAAAGAGCTGACTTGATATGTAACACACCTGTCAATCTGATGGATTTCAAAGGGAAAAAAATTCATCTTGGCCCATTTCAGTCTGCTGCTAAAATTAATAAATAAATCAGACTAGCTTAATTAGGAAAAGTATCTGGCTCCCATTATTTTTATAGGGTGGGCACTTCCCTCATGCATTCACCCCTATGCAGACCATGTGGTGATCACATGGAGGCGGGGGGGTAGTGTTCTTGCCCGCTACACCTCCCCGTGTGTGTGTGTGTGGGGGGCATCATCTGCATAAAGAACAGAAGATACAAACCCCAGTAAACCTGAAAGCAATTGTCAGAAATGTAGAAGCCTGTTACAAAGATGGTGGCAGAGGACAAAGGCTTCTTATGATATGAGTTCTCAATCAACTTGTAAAAAAAAGTTCACCAACTCTCAAGCGCCATGCAAAACAGTTGGAAGTGAAGGAGAGGATTCCACCCAATCAGTTTTCAGGAGGAAAACAAATTAGCAAAGAAGAACGGGGGGGGTGTGTGTGTCACAGTTTTGCTCTGAACTCTTGAGATTCCCGGGAAAGAAAGCAAAGACGGAAAACAGCACCTGTGATTTTTAACCCAGTATTTTATTTCAAGGTACAACCCCTACGGGAGTGTAAACATTTTGCCCAAGCGGTTTGTGTGGATGGATATGGAAGATCATTGGTTATAGTTAATGTATATCTGCCACCGTCAGTGAATAAGGAGGCCTTGCGACAGCAGTGGGAGTGTTTAAATGATTTTTTGGAACTTTTAGAACAGCTAGAGCCGGCCAGGGAAATTATCTTGGTCGGAGATTTTAATGCAAGAATAGGACAGAATGGGGCTGAACTGGCTGATAAAATAGGTATCAATTCTGACCATTTACCTCCTGGTTGTTCTTTTGACTTAAGATGCTCCAAAGACCCACATATTAATGAGGCGGGTACTCTGCTTGCCCACCTCATATTGAGATTTAATCTAGTCATCTTGAATGGTCTGCCTCCCTTTGATTCGCCTGGGGATTATACATTCGCCTCGGCACGGGGAAGCAGTGTGATTGACTATATAATGATCTCACCATCACTTTGGGAGGAGGTGAGAGCATTCTCGGTGATTGGCCGGCCGGAGAGCGATCACTTCCCATTAGCTCTGGTTTTTAATTTAACCTTCACTGTTGTAGAACACGAGGTCCTGAGGGATGAACCAAGAGAAGTGTCCTATAGTACTCCTAAGATTTGTTGGTCTGAGAAAGTGGCCCGAAAGGCTGCTGAGGTCTTGGTGCCTCGACGCCTGGAAGAGTTCATACATCTATCTAGGGAACCAAATAGGACCTCAGACCTGATTCAGGCATATGACTATACTATAACCCAACTGGTAGAATCGATATCATCCCATTACCATCAATCTGGGCATAACAAATCGCGTCGGTTAGGGACATGGTTTGATAGAGAGTGCTATGAAGCAAAGGCCGAAGTCCGTTCCATATATCAGACATACAGAAAGTTTTGCTTAGGAAGTTTGCCTCCAGAATACTTTGAGTCGAGGGCATCCTTGCAAAATCTATATAGAGAAAAGCAAAAACTGGCCCGGCAGAGGAGTTGGGAACCTCTTCTGCACGCTACAATTAGCAACGACTCAAGGAAATTTTGGGCTGTGATATCGGAGGCATTTGGCAGGAACAGACTTGTGAATTCCTCAATTACTACTAAGGACTGGCATGAATATTTTAAGATGGTTTTTACGGCCAATAGAGCGCCAGAGGGTGAAGAGTGTGAGATTAGGTTAGAAGATTGCCCGGAATGGCCACCGGTGCAAGCTGATGAGATAGAAGTTTTAATTGCACAAATTAAGTCCGGGAAGGCCCCGGGCCCGGATGCAATTCCTCCTGAGGCTTTAAAAGCGTTTCCAGATTGGTGGGCTCCCTTTTTGGCGGCCCTTTTTACCGTTATAGATAGGTCAGGCGAAATGCCTGAAGTGTGGATGAATGCTACAGTAGTGCCAATCTTTAAAAAAGGTAACCGTGAGTTGCCTAGTAATTACAGGCCGATCAGCCTCCTCTCTACGATTGGGAAACTTTATGCAAGACATCTGGCGATTAAGCTCAATGCTTGGGTATCTGAACAACGGATACTGGGAATTGAACAAGCCGGCTTCTGTCAGGGGAAGTCCACCTTAGACCACTGTATAGTCTTAAATCACCTAGTAAATAAATACCACAAAGGGAAAGGAAGCAAGTTAATTGCTACCTTCCTTGATTTGAAGGGTGCTTTTGACTCTGTGTCTAGGGAGCTGCTATGGAAGAAACTAATGAAGCTGGGGATGGATTTAAGATTGCTATTCTTGATTAGGAAACTTTATACTGGTACAACCTGTCAAATTAGAGGCTCTAGTAAGGGTACTCTAACCCCAAAAATCATTACTAATATTGGGGTCAAACAGGGATGTATTTTAGCCCCGCTTCTCTTTAATTTGTTCCTTAATGATCTGGCTGCTTGTTTGGAAAAGTCTGAGGGCTATAGTCACTGCCCATGTTTAAGTGGACGACCAATTCCCCTGCTTCTATACGCTGATGATGCCGTCATTCTCTCCCGCTCTGAAGTAGGGATGAAAAAATTGTTGGAGTGTTTCCTGGATTATTGTGACCATAATGGACTTTCAGTGAATTTTGAAAAATCTAAAGTTATGGCCTTTGGGGGATTCTGGAAACCTATGAACTGGAGCATAAGGGGTAAAATAATTGAGCAGGTTAAAAGCTTTAAATATCTGGGGGTCACCTTTCATCATAACTCCAGGTGGGTAACACACAGAACAGAGGCAATTAAAACTGCGAACTGCTGTGTGCTCGCAATTTTGCGGTTTTATTACACTAAGGGTAATCAGTATGTGCCAGCAGCTATAAAAGTGTTTGCACACCAAATTAGCGCGAAGCTACTATATGGTATTCCTATCTGGATTACTGCTTTTAATAAAGCAGTTGAACAACTACAATCCAAATTCCTGAGGAAGATTCTGGGGTTGCCTTCGTGCGTATCTTATGCTGCCATTTGTCTGGAGCTTAATTTGAGACGGTTAGAGACCAAGGCCTGGATTATTACTTTCAGATTTTGGCTACGTCTGCATTTTAGATGTAACCACAATAGCCTTATCACCTATATGCTGGAAGAATCTCAATCCTCTGCGTGGCTTATGGCTATTGAAAAGAAAATCACTTCTATTGGTTTTAACCTGAGTGACCTTGTCATCCGGTCAGAGCTTGAGGTCTTTACTTTGCTTAAACAGAGACTTATTGATATAGAGTTGCAAGAGCTCAGAGCCCTTGCCTCCGGAAGGTGCTCCTCAGTAAGGTGGGCTTATCCCCTTTCTGGTACTCTACCATATTACTTTTTCTGTCTGACTTCACCGCAAATGTGTAGAGCTTATCTGTTGGCCCGTCTTAATGTTCTCCCCTCTGCTATTCTTGAGGGGAGATATAAGCAAATTCCTTATTCAATCAGGTTCTGTGGTTGTAACAGAAGTGAAATAGAAACTGTTGAGCACATACTCTTCTGCTGATGTTCACTCATAGTCTTGCACTAAGTGGCATTTGCTTACCTGTGGGGAGGTGGATAGTGATGTTGTTGCAGAAGTCTGTGTAGCAGCATTTCCTCCTTGTGACGCTCTTTGAGCCATGGCAGAAGACTTCCGCATTCAGTTCTAGGACGGAAAGGCACGTCTTCACCACCTCTTGTTTGCCGTTCATTAGCATGACGGAAGCCCAGCATGCCCCCTCTGTTTCACAAGTGAAGTTTGTTTTCTCACACCAGTGGCAGATGCATGTTAGACCTGAAAAGATAACAGAGAATTTGCTGAGTCCACATGCAAGAGAATGTTGCCAACTTGGTCTGTGAAGACTGGATAAAGTGGGTAGGGAGAAAGCAGAAAAGTCTTCAGAAATTCCAGAATCTGGTTAAGAGATTTTTGGATCACAACATTTTAATCATATATTCTCTTCTGCTTAGAGGCTATGGGATCAAGAGCTGCCCTTACCTTAAAACTCTTAAAGGCAAAACTGTTGACATGGTGGTGGAAAGTGCCATCAAGTCACAGCCCATTTATGGCGACCCCTATGGGGTTTTCAAAGCAAGAGACATTCAGTGCCATTGCCTGCCTCAGAACCAAAATTTCCTATAGAGGTAACGGTTTCCCTTGCTCGAAAGCCAGTCGAATCCAACTCTAGGGGGTGGTGCTCATCTCTGTTTCCAAGCCGAAGAGCCAGCACTGTCTGAAGACTTTTCTGTGGTCATGTGGCCAGCATGACTAGATGCTGAGGTGCCTGGAATGCCATTACCTTCCCACTGAAGTGGTACCTATTTATCTACTTGCAATTTCTTGCTTTCGATCTGCTAGGTTGGCAGGAGCTGGGACCAGAGACGGGAGCTCACTCTGTCACTCAGCACTAGGGTCTCGAACTGCCGAACTACCGGCCTTCCGGTCTGCAGTTCAGCGTCTTAACCTCTGAGCCACTGTGGCCTTCAAAATTTGCTATACTGCACAGCATTTAAGACTGGTGCAAAAATTCACCCTACGGTAACAGCTCCCTCATCCCAGCCCCTCCTCTCCTCACCCTGTACTCCCCCAGCTGAACCCAGCTACAGCTCAGGGCTGGAGTCAACATAACCTGAAAGGGGGGAGCTGCCAGGGCCCGGCCTTTTGCTAGGGGCCACTACTGTCACCCCCTGTGCCCACTCACTTGGTAGTGCTCCACTGCTCCCAGATGGTTGCACTACTAATGCCACTGGGATATGGGCTGCAAGCAGTGCAGGCAGCTGTGAGGATGGGCAGTGGGAGGGCAGGCAGGGCAAGGACACACAGGCAAGTGGGATGCATGTGGATGGGTGGGAAAGAAGGAAGGTATGAGATGAGAGCCTGGGGTGAGCAGAGGAGGGGATGGGGGCCCTGGGAATTTCTACGAAATGACCCCTGCCTACAATAACAACTGTGGTGTAATTGTGGGTAGAGCCAACCAGGTACTTTCCTAGTTACTTCAAATCAGAAGACTCCTTTCTCCTCATTTTCCCTCCCTGACTGAAATAATGGGAGCGGGCAAACTACATATGTGTATAGTGGGCCATCTTTTTAACAAGTCACCGGTTGGAGTGGCTTGCTCCAATTCAAGTAACTGTTGCTTCTAAGGGTTGGCATGGCAACCATTTTAAAAAGTTTTGATCAGTTCTCTTTTAAAAAAAATCACAGCAGCACAGTACTACTTTGTTTTCCAGGAAATTGAATTAAATATGAATTTAGAATGATTTGGAGCCTCGTTAACTGGCCCTGCACAAAGACTCTTTGTACCAGTGTCCCATCAGAAGGAAGATACATAAACATAGGGTAACGGTATGTTCTGATGTAGGCATGCATTTATGCCCCCAATCTCCTCAATTTGTCAAACAATTCGTGACCAGACTTTGTGACATCTGTGTTGATAAAGTCAATCAGTTCTGGTAATTAGTGATGCAAGTAAGTTCCTCAGCTCTGATGCCAAATGATAAGTTGTTAAAATTAGAATACTTTGCACTATAGATCAAATTAATACTAGAGTGGTGACACCTCTTACATTTTGTCGAAAGATAATATAATATAAAATGCATTTGTATTTTGTATTTATTCTGCTTCAGTACACAGCTACAACTGTCCTTTGGGGATGTGGAATAAGAGAATAATTTGATGTAGTACTGGTTTATTTCAAGCTCCAACTAATGCTGAAGCTGAATGTTCAACATTGCACTGTGTATGCACTCAGCCAATCCAGCTGTTCGAAAACCCTATATGGCGAGTAGATAAATGGGTACCTGGCCTTAGTCGGTCAGGGGGGTACCCTCCCCTAGAAGAAGCGGAAGAACTGTGGCTCCAGAGAGAAAATAGTGGCACCGGTAACAACAATGGCAGCAAAACAGCGGCAGAAGCAGCGGCGAAGGGATGGCCCCCCGGAACAACGACTGGTTGGAGGTCAGCAGCGGCGCGGCGTCATTGGAGAGATTGGAACAGGAAGGACGTAATCCCCATCGCCCGACGAGCCAGCAGGGGCCGCTGTGGAAGCCAGCTAACTGAAGTTCCCCCTCTAAGAAAGAACTGCGCGAAGAGGCATGTGACCGCCCGGAAAAAAAGACAGAAGGAGAAGCAAGAACATCTGTGGAAAAAGCCTTCGGAGGGTATCTGGTAGGGTTCCCATCCCCCTGAATTTGTGGCCATAGTTAGGACTCTAGAAAGTGTGTGCACACACGATACTCTGTAAGCCGCCCAGAGCCCTTCAGGGGTGGGCGGGGTAAAAATACCATGTAATAAAAATAAATAATAATAATAATTTATTTTAAAAGACCAAGCTCCATTTTCTTAAAAGCCATTCAATTTTCCATTTGTTTTAAATGTCTCAATTTTTTTGGATGGTCATTTGTCCCAATATTTCCCTGAAACTACTAATTATAAAGGTTAATAAAGATATTTTTGCTGCCAAACACACAATAAATGAAAATTATCTTTTCTTGATGAGATGAAATTAGACAAAAACATTAAAAATGAAATCAGTAAACACTGGATAGGAGAGTTTCATAGCTATCATAATTAGGGATACCATCTTGTTAAATTGAGAGATTGAAATTAGTGAGCACTTTATTTTGTTAAATTGATTGCCTTGTTTTTATTGGTTTATGTGTAGGCACATGGTGCCCTTTGTAAGCTGCCCTGAGCCCATTCGCGGGGAGGGCAGGGTAGATATACAATAATAAAATAAATAAAAATAAATATTACAACTGATCTCCAGACAATATAGATTTGTTCCTCTGAAGAAAATAGCTGCTTTGGAGGCTTGACTCTATGGCACTGTACCTTGCTGAGGTCCCTCCCCTCCCCAAATCCCACCCTCCTCAGGCTCGACCCCAACAATTTCCAGGTATTTCCCAACCCAGAATTGCCAATCCTAATAATAAATCATATAGGTAGTAACCTGTAGGCACCACTGGTGTACAACTTCCTTTTTTCCAAAAGGATTTGACCTATAGGGGTATCAGCATGTAATTTAATCAAGGTCACATTCCCAATTCTATGGGAAACTAGCAGTGATGTCCTAGATCACAATCATTCTACTTGGTATCTGAACCAGTTCTATACATTCCTTTGCAAGCTTTCTATAATGTATTAACTGCCACACAGTCCCTTTTACTGTTCCCAGAGGTATCCCTTGCACTTCACTATTGCAAAAAGGAATAGTGTTGCCAGCCCCGAGGTCCAGGTGGGGGTTCCCCCGCTTCTGGGGGTTTCAATCAGCCCCCGGCCGGCTGGCCACTGGGGAAGACCCACCCCCAAGCCCCACCCCCAAAAGCAACCCTTCTCCTTCCCCTCCTGCCCGATTTGAAGGGCTTCAGCTGATCAGCAGGGGACCACGTGGCCCACCAACCAGCTGGAGTGCCCTTTAAATCTAGCAGGAGGGAGGAAGAGGGACAATCACAGGCTGCACGCTTGGCTGGGTCTTTTTACGAGCTGAGCATGCGGCCCGCAACTGCCCCCTCCCTCCCTCCTGCTAGATTTAAAGGGCTCTCCAGCTGGTAGGTGGGCCATGTGGTCCCTGCCGATCAGCTGAAGCCCTTTAAATTGGGGAGGAGGAGAGGGAGAGGGGTGGCCAGGTGGGTGGTCGCTCTTGGGGACATCCCTTCCCACCCCCTGAACACCCTCCCAAATCCCCCCACCAGAGTGACAAGGAGACCTGGCAACCCTAAAGAGGAATAGGAAGAGACATGAAAGCATTAGACCTACAATGGCATCCTAAGAAGAACAACCCCTTTCTAAGTCCTGACACTCTCCAAAGGCAGGAAATATATGCTGCAGTCCTATGCATACTATGTGAAAGAAGTCAGTAGAGATAACAGCTCAGTGAATGTGTTTAGAAACTGGGTATAAGACAACTGAGGATGCATATTTTTAAAACGAAACAGGAAGTCACTAATTTTTTTTCTGTTGGGAAGGCATTTCATTCCCCCCCTGCTCCCCATGCCTGTGCAATACCAAGGATTCAAATGTCAATCTAGCCACTCCTCCAGTGCTACATGTGGGAGGCCTGCGATATTTTAAGAACCAGACAGACATTTTTTAAATAAGAAACAATTTTGTTAAATTGTTCCACAGATGGAGAGTGGAATGTGTTTGTGACATTACAGTGGCAGGCCAATCAGCACAGTGCACAATCAGCTTCTATGGCAAACTCACATAATTTTATTTTTAACTATAACTTTAGCCACGGTGACTAAAGGGAACCTTCACATTCAGAGGCACTAAGCCTCTGAATCCCAGAGCCAGGAGGCAACATCAGGGGAAAGTCTCTATACCCTGTTACTGGCCTTCCAGAGGAACTGGTTGGCCACTGGTCTGATCCAGCAGAGCCCTTCTAATGTTCTTATTTCAGAAACCAAAAATTGTTCATCTGACCAGACCGTGACACAGAAGCTCTGCCACTCAAACCAGGTCTTACTTGTTTGCAACCTTATTTTATTCATTAGTTTGATTTCTTTTGCACATTGCTTAAAAAAATATGGGAGGCAATCTTTTTTGATAAACAGATTTTTCAGCACAAAGATCACTGACTGTCAGACAACCTTCACAGTGTTGATGGAAAAGTCATACACCAAAGCCAAACACCACTAGGATTGAGCTAAGAGAGTGCTACTATTAATGCTTCTCTCTAAAACTCAAAATTAGAAGCCATTTGTAATAGACAAACCAAAAAGCATTTAAAAGCCATCTGTATCACACCAAATAGAACAAATTGATAAAAGGCCTTCAGTTAAGCAGTGG